TGAGAGTACTAATGTAAGGTATTTACGTATAGCACTGATTACAAAACAGAGCTGAACTGATTACCAGAGGACGTATCATTTTTAATTCTTATCAAATCATGGTTGTTTGGGGATTTTTGATTTCAATCACAAATCAATTTACACGATTTATCAAAACAGAAATCACTAAACCAGATACCGTAATTCACGATGAGACTTTTATTTTTGTCAATCTCTTCAGATTTATAGTTTCTAGCCCCCTTCAGATTTATTCAAGTACTTCTTAATGTTACCGTAATATTTTGCGTAGGAATTGATAGGACCCTTTTTATCTCTAACATCTCATTACTTTGAAAACCATGCGGAATGAAGTAAGAAGAATCATCTCGCGAAATTGTAATCTCGCTAAAAGTTGTTTTTCAAATCTCAAGAGACTCAAGAAGTTTCCTTTCGGTGTTTTTCGATCCTCGAGAAAAAAAAAACAAAAGCGAAAGCGCATTGAAGTTTGATTCTGCAGATACGGCACTTTGCTAATGGATTGAGCATTGACGTGACGTGACGACGCCGATGAGTTCATAACGCTGTCACCACGCAGTTTTCGCGACGTCATTCTACCGAAAGATTAAAGAACTCCTGATAATACTCAACAAGAACTTCTATTTTGCAAATGAGTTACACAAATCTGGCCTAAAAAACTAGTAACGAACCTGGATATGAATCATTCTACAAAAGAAGCAGTGAGAACTTTCAAATTCTCGATTTAATCCATGACCTTATGATTACCATATTTGATTTTTTCGATCCTCTTCAAAAGCCTCTCTTTCGAAAACAAAATTGAAAGTATCAATTCAGTAGGTGGACGCCAGTGACGGATAAGCCGAAAGTAGACAGAAAAGTCCCCAAAATCCGTGTCAAAACAACCAAAACAAGGCAAAAACCGGACCAGGGAAGTGAGGCTGCGAACAGTGACAACAAAATGAGAGCTGCTTATTGTGGCATGCTTGAACCCGAAATTATGGACCGGAAATCGAGAATCGAAATGCAGGAATTCTTATGTGAACTAGCTGCTTTTTAGGTCCAGAATTTTTGCTTGATACCTTCATATTATTGGATGAGTCGATATCTTTGAAGTTTTCCATAATTATTATCCTTCTGAAAAGGGGATATGAGGAATTATTTTACAATTCTATAGTGATTCGAGAAAATTTATCAATTTGAGACAAGTGACGATCGCTCAAATGTGTACCTTTTTTGCCCCCAGAAAAGTCAAAAAAAGCAGATACAGTAGTAGTTCAACAAATAAGTAGATTATGAAAATGAATAAAATATGAATTAATAAAGATGAGCTTACCTTCGGGAAACAGGTCTTATGCCATTGAGCCCCACAGTCGGTACATTGTACGGTGTAGAGGATTGACAACGTATCACAATGGGAACATTTCGATGGTTGAACTGTCCGTTGAACTCGATGAGATAGAGCGGTCTCGGACAATTCAGACGTCTCATAAAGGCGACCAGCTGAAATACGGTATTTACAGTGTATTACTCGTCAGTATCTCCCTACGTTAAGCTAGAACGGTCATCCTCGAGAGATTGAGGATTATGAAGAAAATAGGGCCTTGCTTTGATTGGACATGCCTACGAGCCGTTAAGCGGCCATTCAATAAGGGACTGTTACAAATGATCCTCATCCTACTTGGAAAAAATGAAAGGATATTCGAACCCCAAGCTGTACGGCTGATCCACCCATCTTTCCTATGTACGGTAGCTCTGTTTTAGAGCTTAGGAACCGATCTTCCAGGACACTTAGGGTAAGTAACCTCTCATGTCAATGCACTACCTCTCTTTGCTATACTATTTCGACCGAATTTCGGAACGCCAGCATTCGTAAGATGACGCCATGTATCAGCTTATTCATGGAATTACCCTCTCATATGCTCGAATAAGTTCTGTCAGATGATTTATGCACAGTACCCCTGACCTAGCTTGACAATCCCTTTGTTGCTCTGCTAGCATGCTTTCTAATGTTGGAACTTTGCAATCAACTGACTCAAACAACATTCCATTCTCTTTTGTGACCACTTCTTTCGACGACAAGGAAAGACTGACTCAGCTTATGACGCAAAGACGCCTCATCTTCAGTTTTGTTTTCGCTCCACGACGTCTTTTACAGCTTTATGGGCTTTTCCTTTTCTTCAAAATCGGATAGACGTCCTTAGTACGGTACCTGGACGTCCGGAAATTCGAGAAAGTGCGTAGGCAGTCCTCGTAAGAGTCCAAGGACAATCGATTATCTCCCAATCCAAAAAAAATCCGGGAACAAATTCATCAAAGCAGGAAGTTCCCGATAGTGGAAGTGCAGGAGCTGCCTCTGCCGAAAACTTACTTTTACTTCTTCTGACCACTTTTGTAGTAATGCCTATGGGCAAATGCGAGTGAATTAGAAGGAGGAGGAAACAACTGGGAAATCAGCACTGCACATAAAATTGCCCACAAGAGGTTGATCAATAAACCAATACCATAGTATTGCCCCTATGGGAGCATATCAGGCAGCTCCCACCGGACAGACTAAATTGCAACCTCAATTCAGGAAAATCTTTCCCGAGAGGCAGCTTTTTTCTTCGACTTCCATTTAGTGATAGAGAAGATGAGGGATATGATCGTTTTGTCAGATGCAGTATGATCCCCAGAGTATATTCCTCGCTCCCGTCTTCCCCCACCTTCTGATGGAAGCATCGCTGGGACATTCAGTCGCCTACTAACAATCAGGAGAAATTGCAAAGACCACTGTCTTTTGACATTTTTCGGTAACCCCAACTCCTGAAGGCGGTCGGCACCGCAACCGCTACAAGCAGAACGATTCCTAGATTAACCCTGATTGGTTGATTCATCTTGCAGCTCGATAAGCCACCAATTAGAAGAGTGCGAAGGTATCCCAGATATTCTCTTCAGTTTCCAGAGTAATTTTGAAAAAAGTCCTAAAATCGATGACGAAATCAACAAATCTCTTAAATCACTCACCGACACTGGTCTTCTTATGTCGTTTTGTATCCGGTAATTGACATTCGTCATCGGGATTGATGGCATTCCGTCGGAGTGACGTCATCGAGCCGGTCTCGAACGGAGGCAAACCATCATCGACACTTCGGCCTTCTCTGAAAGCACTCATTTACTTACATAAATTACAACTTTCCTAGTAATTCCATCAATACGACTTCATTCGTGCTGGTCTCTGACGAAATGAAGCTTCTAACACGCAATCTGGTCAAATTGGAGCTACAGAGAGGGCTTTTAGATTTAATATTTCGAAAAATGCCCTTTTCGCGTCAAAATCTCATCAACAAGAATGAATAATAGACGTCTCTTGGTATTTAATCACGGAACTTCAGCTTAGAAACCAAAAATCAGGCGAAGGTAGGGCTTGGGCCCTTGAAGTGAATAAATAACAATCAAAAATAGGTATAAATGAAAAAACATTGAAAAAAATGAAATGCAATGAAAAGCTGGAATTTATTCCGGATATCTTCGAGTGAAGAACTGAATAGGCTCGATCTCGAGCCCAATTTCGGTTACATTACCTGCTTACTTGATCCTTACCCTACCGTATCCCTCGCTATTTGTAGTAAACCAAAGAACGACTTGAAAAATCGGTGAGCATCGGGGTAGCAGCCTTAGCTCTCTTTTCAAATTCTCAAGAGCCCGAGTTTACCCAGTCCAGCTCGATGGGGATTTCCTTAGACCGCTTGTTACCCTGTCATATGGGGGCTAGGGTTCGCTCAATAACCAAATATCAAACGATCAAAATAAAATCAACATAAAGTGATCCGTTTCTAGCCGATATGCTATTCCTGTTCATGCATACACATTCCCTGAATTCTTCCATTTACACCGATCGTTAGATGAGAATGGAATAGATTAGATTATTTATTGTTTTTCTGAACAGACATGCAATTAATTCCGTCGAAGAAATGCCAACGTTGGCAATTCTATCTAATCATGAAACACATTCCAGAATAAACGACCGACCGATATTGTCTGCTTAATGACTAATTCTCGATAATTCTAGATTTATAAAGACTTTCACGTATTCAACAATCTTTTCCTTCTCGAAAGCACGATCGAGATATTCAAAATGCACTTTTAATTTATGCCGATATCACATGCATGGCGCATACTACACCCGTCTTCTAGTGGTTCCCACACGAGAAAGCTTCGAATTTCTACTACATTGCAGGCCGTTGTGATTTCTTACAAACGTAGACTTTCAATTAGCCTTATGAGGGAACATTCTAGAAGCCTTCAGGGTTCTTCGTGACTAAAGTACTCGAGTAGCGGGCGACAACGATTCGAGAAAAGTCCTCAAGAAGGGCAAATGGGTGCCCTAAAGCCTCGAGGTAGGCGGAAATTGACAGGACCAAAGTGCCCTTATCCAGTACCTTGGCCTATTCAGTAAGTTTCGAAGGTAAGCCGATTTTCCAATCAATCTAGCTTCCCTCTTGTACTCTTCCCCTTGAATTCAGCCTCATCGAAGGGAGTAAGGGATCGATTGCCCCGTTCAGTTTAGGCCCACAGAGCTCCTCTTAAATCCTAATTTTACTCGAGAAATAGGTCTACTTAGAAAAACCGTTGAACAAACGGCTGAATCTACAAATCAAATCAGCTATTAATAAAAACTATTGATAATTTCGTCTATGTATGTGGAAAAGTATGTTTGTGTGGGTGGATATATTCTTACATAAACATCCAGTCGATAACACGACAACAATGACGACGATGACGACGTAAATATAAACAGATTTCGATGTGTCCCCATGAAAGTGAGAGGCAACACGAAAACTCAAGGGGCTCATCTTTCCTTTGACATGCCCAAACATCAATAGCTTTTCTTTGAACGTCATGGGACTTCATAGTTACGAAAGAACTAACGAAACCCCAGCTATTCAGTTCATCAGGTTTGGCTGAACCTTCGGGATGCGCCATGCACCTGACCTCTACCATTAATCGTTTAAAGACCCAGATAGTGCGTGGCGGAGCAATAAAAAAAGTAGATTCTGAAAATGAGAGACAAAAATGGACAAAAGGTAACTAAATTTTCTCTATATCATACTTAAGACTGTTTTGCTGACACTTATGATTGGCCAGCTTCAGATTTAAAGGAACAAACAAATAAACAGAACAATAAATAAACGAATGTTTCTAGCAGAAACGTTGCAACGCATAAGACCCATGGGAAAGCAATTAATTGGAAAGCACTTGGATGGGAATCCTCAATATAAAGCGATATATAAAAATACCTCAAAAAGCTATGGCTGCTTGTGGCTCGTTGAGGAAGTGAATGAAGATAGGCCATGTAAGCTCCGCCAGGCGGATAGTCCCTGGTAGCATCGGCCAGGTCCTGATAGCTTCCCGGTAATTTCACCCACAATGTCGCCAGAGCCTAAAATAAACCTCCAGCTTGTTTAAATCCACATGCTGCTTCGAAAGGATAAATAAGAAAGCGAAATGCGGAATAAACAAAAAAAACCAACAAAGAAAAACACAAAGAAGAATTCGTCATAAACCGAATGAAATTGAAGAACTATAAAAAATATTCCCATAAACTCATTTTAATTAAAGATGGTCTGTAAGAGGTTACTCCTCAAATAACTACTCGGGGAAATATCAATCAGTTTTATCGATTTTTGATTACAGTGGAAAATTTGCTTTCGAAATCGCTTCAAAAGCCCCGTGCTTAACTGTTATCATGCCTTCCATGAATATGAGAGCGAGCAGGTACTTAAAATGTTGGCCCCTCAAAGAATGAGCCATGCGCCCAGTTTTCAGGCTTCCTCAGAGAAGCGTTTGGAAGCGAACCAACTGATTAGAAAATGACCTGCAAATGAGGCCTTGCAAGCTAATCCTATTTTAGGCACCACGTTTTACCATCTACTTTCCAATTTCTTTACTTTACTGATTACTACAACTGAATCTACGTTGAATAGCTAGGACTAGTGAATAAGTTATAAGTGTATATCGCATGTAACGATGGTTGCTCAAGTAATACGATAGGTTCATGCATATCCTAACGGCAATGAAGCTAGTTGTGAGCAGTTGTTGCCAAAAACCTCTCACTAAATAGACACAAAAGAAATCGATATGAAAGACAAAAAGTCGAAAGGGAGGGGAATGAAGCTCGTCGTCTGCATCACAGATTTAACATCGAGGATAGATGATAAACATCGCCGAGTAAAGACAAAGCAGTGTGATGGCAAGAAACTCGTAAACAAATCACAGTTTCGTTTGTGTTACGAACGATGATGAAGGAAGAGTTAGGGTAGAGGCGTCGCGTTTTCGCAGAAGATTCGGGCTATAGAACCCATAAAGAATGATTTAAGACCTGCAAAAAATATATCGAAAAAGGGCCCCTCCAGGAGAAAGACGACGATTACCCTTCTCTCCAGGTCGTGCCGGAGGAGGAGCCAGTGAATTTTGGACGATTAGCAGTGGTACGGACTATCGGAAAAGAAGAAGGTTCCGAAGCAAAATAGAAGCCTAAGGGAGAAAAGTGACGAGAATACTCGTCCGAGACGACGAGTTCAACTAATAACAGCGCCTAGACTTTTTGCTAATAAAGGAGGGAAAAAGAAGCACTACGAAAGTACTCGAAAACCAGTGGAGCGAATTATCTGAGGCTCTCAGAATCAGCCCTTTACGGCACATCATTGCCACGATTAGTGAGCTTCAGTAAGCATCAACGACGAGCAATCATTGAGCATGTCTGGGACAGAAAGCCTAGACCAGAAACCTCTCTCCTCGATATGGGTAGCCGTGTCGCAGCTTGTGCCAGAAAAAGACAGCTTATCCAGCCGCCTCTATCTTCACTCCACCCCTCTCCTCGTCTTGCTGCCGCCTCGTATGTGTCGTCGAGCACGAATAGAATGGATAGGCGTCAAACATGCATGTATGGCAAGAAAGGACGCAACGAGCCATGCTATAATGATGTATTTCTAGACGATAGGCTATAGCTAAGCAAGAAAGACGAAGTGAATTTCGAATGGTCAAGGACAATCTGGCTATGGAATGCCACGACTCCCACCTTCCGCAGATGTACAAGGGGACCAATATGGCTACACTCCACCTTCGAACTTAGACAATTTCACTTTATCTAGCCTACTGGTTCGAGTCCGAACCTGCAATGCTATCGTACTCGAGAAGTTCTCTCGGGATCACCCATTCAGTTTGGGGAAAACAGCAATTGGCAACTCCTAGGACGTCATTCCGGGGCCAGAAAAGTTATCGCTTCCTATCCCTGTAAAACAGTCTTGATATGAGTAATTACGCTCGAGAAAGCGGTATGAATGGACCTCGTCCTGGTAACAGTGATCCTGCCAACGAATTTCCCACGATGTCCCCACGACACCTACGGAATGTCGAATTTCTGGCGTCCCCGTGCTGGACTGATGTTCACCATCATAAATTCACCAGAGCAGCCAAGAATGCACAGGTAGTACTACCATTCCGCTTTCCGGAAAACGGAAATCGACAGAAAATCTTTGGAACCTTCTAGACAAGGGAGTATTCATAGCTGCATGGATAAGCAGGAGGGGAAATGGATAGGTGCGCAGCAAATATTCGAGCGGAATCTGGTGTCTGATGTATTAAAGGCGACGATAACAAGCCAACGACATTTGAGAATGTCCCAATGCTGACACTAAAAGCTGTTGAAATCCTAGCACTGAGCACGACCTTTTTCCAACGGCTCCAAAGAATCGAATAACAACTTGCGGGGTGGTTGCTCATATGCCTTCTTTCATATTCTATGTCGATTATTATTATTATGAATAATCAATAAGAAGAAGTTTCACATAGAAAAGCTATGAATCACAGAGGAAGAGCCACAATGACAGCCACAACAAATAACTTAGCAGTAAAGAAGTGCTCTGAGTTCAATCGATAGGTAGGCAATTCAGTCTACGACTTTCCCGCATCTCTGTCAGATGGCCCATGAAACCATTCCGCTGCGAAGAATATCGACATTTCAAAAGTCGTAAAAGACCGAGATGGGACGAGAGTTGAGCCGGACCACCTGGACTGCCCTCACCACTTCGTAAAATAGCCAGTCAGCAGTGGGAGTGGGAGAACTCGGAGCACTGTGCTGCAGAAGTGCACAAGTAATCAAAGAATGCGGACTATGGTGGGAGTCTGGAGGCGGAGGCGTCAGAACCATGCATGAGCACCATGAGCACCATCCTCCTAATGGCGCTTGGCAAATGGGGGCGGTTGCTGACGCCTTAAGCAGGAAGAGAACCCTCCGGAACAGGAAGATGTGACGACGTCAGTGAAGCAATGCCGAAAATGATACCAATTGACAGCAGCAAACCGACCTACAAACAGCAGCCTCCGGAAAGCTCCCTTTTCAAGGGCCCTTCTTAGAAGTGACGTGGTCGGACTCTTGCCTACCGTCACGCACGCATTTTTAACATATAATAATTATATTACCAAGATGACGTCATCAGTTATAGCTCCAATGAGTGGAGGAAATTCTTAGCAGCCTGCCTAAACATAGTTTACAAAAGTTTAATGGACGAAGTGATCGACCCTCACCGACTTTCCTAGATTAAGCCATGCATTCGACAGACAGTTTTTATTTACTTGAGTTTCCAACAAGAGTAATAGGTACCCGGGCTTATATTACAACAACAATACGAGCCCCCTTTTCCAAGCCACCCAACCAAGGTTCTCAGAGCTCAATTAGCGAACTGTTTAGCTTACACTGGACTAAGCCATATGTTCGACTGCCAGTGGGAATTATGAAGTATTTGAATGATATCGATGATTCAGATTGAAATTTGAGACCAGTATGCCCGTAATAGCACAAGTTCAGCTGTGGCAGACGATTCCGATGCCAATCGAAGCATTCCTAAGGGCGGGACGCCTAATTGATTTGGTGCTAGGAATCAGGACTGTCTGGGAAAAAAAGACGTCTGTCCGACGAAACGCCAAGAATTCGTTACCGTAATTAGCCGCTGAGGGGAAAACATTAACGAATACATTCAATCAAAATCACAATGCATGTTTTTCAATCTAATTTCTTATTAAAACTGAAATCAGACAGTCCATCCATGAAAAAGCCTAAAAAACCCAGGCTCTGTATATTCTTGGAAGACTATCGACTCTATCGGAAAAGCAGATGCTTCCAAAGAGGACATCAATAGATATGTATGGTGCCACCCTAGGGATACGGTAGTGTGAATGGGTTTCTATGGAAAACCCAATTAAATTCAATGAGCCACATAAGATTATATGAAAAGAGGGAAGCACACGCAAGAAATCCTGGTGAGCCTTTTCTCTGAAAATGGAATGCGAATCAATAAATTGCACTTATCCCTTACTATAGAGGGTGCTAAGGTTCCAGAAAAACATCCCTCATAATAGGGAGCTCGAACTTGGCCCCACCTTCTGTAGGCACCGTACTTATCCATTTCACTAACGAGATTCTGCTATTTTCTCTCATAAAAGCATGCCCATCATTTCTTCGAGAAAAAAAATGATAATAATAATAATAGCAATAGCAATAATTGTCAATAAAGTACTTTTTTGTATTCCATTTATAAGATCCAAAACATTACGGATGTCGGTGGAGTCACAGTCGCTTATAACAACAAACGTTCCCCTCAGGGAATCGGCAAAACAATTATACAAAGTTTTCAGGAAGTTGAAAAGACCGTGAATAATTACTATGAAGTTATGCAACGTTTCAGGAACCAAAATTCGTCTCCCTACAGAAGGAAAGGAACTATTCAAAAAGAAAAATCATTTCGTAGACACTTTTGCAAAGATGGGCGGGGAGCAAATCCCCGTTGGATAAGAAGTGTTTGAGCGTTCCAGGTAAGACTAGGCTAGGAATGTTTCAGACTTGAAACCACTCCACTTTGTCACTAACTGTTCATCAAGTTGGCGGCGGAAATCTTCAAGTTTCATAGTGTCCCTCTACTCTACTGAAGTCCCTCCTCTACTCTAGGCTGACCATGAGTAAGGTCTATAAAATGTTCTTATACGGCTTGAAGCTTCTTCTCCCCTCACTCCCATAGCCTTTCTAAAAATACGAGTCGGAGTGACAAGCCAAAACATCGCAGAACGACGACCTTGCACAGGAGTGCCGTCAATCCATCCAGGGAAACATGTTTCCCATCATTCTCATGGAGTCTCAAGAAAACAAGTAAGGTCCTTCTTCTTCATTCATGTTGTGGATGAGAGCCGAAGACAAGGGGATGTGGCAGAGTGCATTCGGTCTAGGCACATGATTGAAGACGAAGGATGCAACATCCTGATAAATGGATCATTCTAACCCTGAATCTTCTAGACGACTGACAAAGCAGTCCTGGATTGGAGTGGAAGAGAAAAGAGGAAAAAAGTACGAGGAAAAAGGGAGAAACGAACGAGAAAAGGAGAAGGAAA